TCGAGGTGATGAAACAATGGTCAAACAATAGAATATCGCTTATCGCTTGAGTCAATAACGCTTCGACCAGGAGGCCTCTAGTTTCGGTCAATTCTCGACTGGCACACGCCCTCTTTATCGGAAGATTGGTCCACGCGATGTCCCATTGTTGGACCTCTGTTTATCGCTAACAGCCCGCCGTGGTTGTTTATCCCACCGCTGCTTTCCCCCGCAAGTGCATCTCGGCGGATTTCGTCATACGTCTCCCACTGGCTGCTCTTGGCTGCGCTAAAGCTTACTACGCTGCAGCAACCAGGCCGAAGCCCTTAGCAAACATGCCGTATCAAGTTGTTCGTGAAGCACCGATAAATGAACAAAACATTGCATTTAACTTACCGAGCTTGTATCACACCACAGATGACTGTGGCCACTGTTCTTTCTTGAATGGTTATATTGAAATTTAGTAACCGATGAAACGGTGAATCGTACAAAAAATGTCAAGCACTTTCACTCCCTGAGGAATATGTACGGGGATACAGCTTGGGCAGAGGTCGTGCACGATTGATTGATGTGTGTGGTTTAACGTCCCAAAACCACCACATGATTGTGAGAGACGCCGTAGTGGAGGGGCGCCGGAAATTTCAACCCCCCTGGGGTTTCTTCAACGTGCGCCCAAATCCGAGCACACGGGGCTACAGCATTTTCGCCTCCATCGAAAATGCAGCCGCCGCAGCCGGGATTCGATCCCGCGACCAGTCGTGCACCTGTCGCGAATGAAGGGCCGCGAACCATTGGCGTTTCCATGAAGCCATAATTTCTTCCCAGTACGGACGCTTTGATATCTTCATCACTGATATCATGCATCATAACACACACATGAAATCATCAATGCCAGGTAATGAGCTTGACGTACAACAAAAAAATCGCTTTTAATGCAGCTTTAGATTCGTATACATGTGATCGGGACTGTAAACGCTGTATATGAAACGTGAGGTACAGTTGTAGTAGCATTGCCGGATAGGCCTTCCTCTTCTTAAACGAGAAGCCCACTCTTGTCTTATCGCGAGTGAGATAATCAAAATCGTGTTTGAACAAGGCGTTTGCATGCATTATGCAACTCCAAATAAATACGACACTAGCAACTACGAAGACATTTGAAAGCGAGTTCGTGCTCAAACTATTCTAACCATGGTAGTGCTTGCTGGTTAAAACCACAATTCTCGCTTCACCAAACAAGAAGCTTCACAGTCTGTGTTAGTATACACTTGTGCTGCGTTCGTTCCATGTTCGTTGGAACTCAACAAAATAATAAAAACTTGCACTGACATTTCTTGCCGCGGTGCAAAAGGTATTTTCCCGACACAAACGCGAACCAGAAAAGCTTTTGGCCAACCAAAGCAGAAGACAAAGCCACTGGCAAGGGCTCTTCATTACACACACTGACAAGCCTGCCGTGAACGTACAACGAAATAGAAGCAACGACTTCCGGAAACCATATTTTACTTTCAAACGGTACCAAAAAGTCTCACTAATAGAACTCGCTGTTGGGCTAGTTGGTACATGTCTGAATTAAATAGTCGATTCCATGCCGAAATCGCGGCCGCACACGCGAATAAAACACAGAAAGCACCCGTCCCGTCTATTCTTTTTTTTTTCATTGTGCGGTCATGATTTTGGCGCGAAACCATCTATTTAAAAATTCAGACAAGCATGACTAATTATGCATTCAGGTAAGTACGGTAAATCACGTCACAGGTACACAGTAAGTACGTTTAAGTAAGGTAAAGCAGTCAATTGCGCATGAGCAGACAGTTTTCGTCAAAGATGTTCGGGCTTCTCGTCATGTTTAAACAAGGACCTACGGTGGGGCCGTAACTTCTAGCCATAGCGGGACGCTGGAAAGCTACACAGCTGTAGCCATGGGTCATAAATTGACACCTTTCGGTAAAAGTTTACGGGGTTTTAGTGATAATTAAGAGAAGCTTGCGAGTATAGTACCAAAACTGATACTGTCAAAATTTATGTCAATTCACAGGAAGCTCATGAAAAAATGTAAAGGGGGCGATGCCACCACGCGTTCCGGTTTCGTAACATACGCGCAAAGTAGCCTCCGTATTTTTGACGACAACTGTCCGACAGTCACGCATATATATATATGTATTCAGGCACCGATCATCATCCATCGAAAATTTTTTTTCGACAGGTTCCAATCTCCATAAACTGGACATGTAAGTACGTTTTTCCCGAAATACCGCAGCTGCAAATATGAACACCTTAGGCAGGCAGTGCGTTGCTATTTATCGATCGATCACTATTAAGTGCATGTGCGTAGATTTACCAAGACGTGGGAAAAGCGGTCGTCACGAAAGAAACGCCTCGCCTTCGAAGGCCGTGGCTCATCACGCCCTCTATAGTGGAGGGAGCGCTCCGAGTAGTTGACGGAAACGTCCGTCATCTTGTTGTACGGTTTGCATCACTCTGCTGCTGAAAATGAATGGATCTACCGAGGTAAGGCGCAACATTGTATTGTGCAGGCGGCTAAAAATAGAAAATAAAACATTGCGTAACTGGTGACAACGGGCCCGTAGCCAAGATTTTTTTTTTTTTTTCGAGAGGAGCGCACTTGAAAACCTTGACTATTTTAGAAAAAAACGCCCATTTTTCATTACTACTATTCGGTAAAAACACTACACTGCATGGGGATTTCGGATGGGGGCCCCGGGCCATTAGACCACTCCCTCTCCCTCCCCGGCTGCAAGCCTGGATGACGATAGCTCTCCCGAAAATACCGACATGCGAGGCCCGTCGATTAGGAAAAGGGTGGCAATGGACGTATCGTGAAAAGGCAGATACAATTAACCTTGACGGGATCGATCAAAAAGTACGGCCCCGCATAATCTTGTATATAAAGTGGACGGATCTATGTTACCTCTTTTGTGCGACGCTGAAAAAGGAACGATAACAAAGAAGATATCTGCACAAGGGCGCTCAAGAGCGCTCAGATCCCAAGGCACCGCTTTCGCTTAGCGCAAGCAGTTCTATACCATCTGCGCTAATGTTACCCACGTACCAACGTGCGAACTTCAGCATTTGAGTGCACTGTTGGTGCACCCTTATGCGTTTTTTGAAAAGGTGTACACATATTGCACGTAATATAAGCCGGGAGTTCTTAGCGGAGTTGCAAGAAAGTGCCAACAGGGTAGTGTAAGCAAATGGCAACAACCCATATAGTTATCCATGGATATTTTTGTTTTTGATTTCTGTCTCCATGCACTCCAAACGAACTTTGTACAGACTATAAAGTTTTCTACTGCTTAAGGCCAGTCTCCATGAGGGAAAAAATAACCCACAGCTGCACAACAAAGGAAAACGTGGGACACGATACATATACGACAGCAATACAGCCTTCAGGCTTGTTACAGTTTTACGGCAAGCCTTGCTTCACTGTCCTGTCGGTGGCGCTTCGTGGTAGGTATACATTAATGATGATGATGATGATGACGTCACACGGACGGCGCTCACTCATTGAAGCTGTAGTCTTAGGACACGATAGCTAATGTAAACGAGTTGCGAGTTAATTGCAGGAGAAAGTTTACAAGTAGCAACAAACTATGGCGCGTAACAATGACAGAAAAGAGTTTGACACTGATGCTGTGGCAGAGTCGCGATGTGACAAAATATTCATTGCATTGGACCACGCCAGAGGCATGCGCAAACGCGTCGGGCTCTTAATTTGGCCGAGTGCACGTAGAGGTAATAAGAAAATTGCCGTTCAGTCAAATCTTACGAACATGCAAGCGACGTGGGCAAAAAAACATTGCGGATGTCTTCGAAACGGTGCTGGTAGAAACACGGTGAATACACCACGCGAGCTTGCATAGGCAGGAAGCATGGCCACATACCTCGAGTTGCCCGTTCTGAAAACCCCACTTTGATAACATGGCATATAGACTCACCCCCACTTCACCATCAATCTTGCGATGAAACAGTGGAAAGTACGTAATATGCAACCATTACTATAAGTGATCATCTGTGCGTCGTGCTCTATACTGGTACGAAGTCGCAGTACTGGTACGTATTATAACGGTGACCACCACTTGCACGAGTCGAAAGCTGAACTTCATCGCTATACCACGGCAACTAATGCAATAGCTACGGCGCATGCGTTGACACCTCATAGGTAGCTGCGCACGCGTGCAGTCGAGCCCTAGTGCCAGTGACAAGTGCGTTACCACGGATCCGTGTTTACATGGCTGACGCATCATGTCAATGCGTCATGTCTTGCGACGTTCGACGTCGGACCAACTAACCATAACTGCCCTCTACATCGTCACTGCCACGTCGATGCCACGCGGTGACTGTTCGATGAAACAAATCGCAAATCCGGCAAACGTGGGTGATGCGATACGATATACTTGCGAGCACCATTATTGGTTTGTGTCACTGCGCCTCAACGTAGCGTCATCACAAACGTGTCGCATGCGCGGAACGACGGCACATGCGCCAAATTGGCGGCAAGCGGCTCCGTCCACAAGCGGGCTAGAATGATAACGCTACGCTAAAGCATACTCTCAAGGCACGTTCACACCGAGCGCGGATCCAGAAAGCGGAGAGGCGGATCCAGAAGGCGGACGCGGATTACACGCAAAAGCGGAAAATCCGCGGCCGCTTCTCGGAAACGCTCCCGGGCCGACTTTCTCCGGGCGGAAAAGTTGGCCGCTTTGGCCGCAGCCAATCAGCGCCCGAGACGCACGAACGCAGTATCGCGTAGTGCCACAAGACGGCGCACGCCCACCGTGGATTGGTGGATTGCCTCGTGCCCGCGGCGGAGCGGGGAGAAGGCAACGAGATCTGTCTGAACAGCCGCGCGCGCTCGCTGCCTCACAGCTTCGAAAATCCGTTTGCCCGCTCCGTTGCGCCGCGCTCCGTGTGAACGCGCCTTTATATTAACAACTCGAAGGGCAGCCACAAGTAGCGCATTTAAATAAACATGTTATCGGCGTTCGCACGTTCGTTTTATGGTTCCCCACGGTTACGCGGTAATTTCGGCCTAACGCTACACCACGTGGTCACCAGAGATTCCAAGTACTTTATAGGTGTAGGCATTGCGGCTAAAAGGCCGGCTTTCGTGAATCATTGATAACGAACGCACGAACGCCGTCTACGAAGAAATACCGGTGATATCAAACGAATGCGCTTCCTGTGGCCGCCGCTCAACATGCAGCTTTCAGTGTGCGCGGCGTACAGGGCACCCAAGCCGCTCCGGCTCAGCACTTCAGTCGTTAATGGGAACCGGGACCTCCTCCTTGGGCATGTCTTCGTACTTCATACCCTCCTTATGGATCTTAGCCACGTACCTGTAAAGAAATGAACATGCACAAGGGAATACCTTTCAGCAAGGTTTCTGCCTCTCCACAGCAAGACGGCGCTTCGCTGATCAATGTCATTAGAAGCAGCAGTGTGTGTTCTAACTCTGGCTAGTGCAGATCCTATATACAAATTTAGAGCACAAAAAACACACATTCACAATAACAAGATGGTGCCAAACAATTTTTAACTATACAGCGTCTCGTCGAATTTCAAGTTTTGTGAATTGGAAGACTAAGCTCACTTTCATTGTTAAAATAACTTCAAGTGAAATAGGGAGTAACAATACGGGTGATTTCTAGTTTTTCTAAGAGTGCTGACAAGACGTTCAGCCGCGAGCAGTACGAGATGGATCTATGAAACGTTTTGAGGAGCATAGATGATAAACGCAGTCGGCAAGTCAACGGCTCAAGGAGAATGGTATCTCTTACAATTCAGTACGATACAGCCATATTCGTGCATTATACAAGTAATCATTGATTGAACACGACTTCAGTGTTCCATGTCATATTGCTCACGGCTTTGCGGATTGCACATCTGTGCCCATTCTCTAAAATTTAGCCGGCACTGAGTAATACGTACCCGATGAGAGCAGCAGAGATGAAGGTGATTCCAGCTGCCACCAGGTAAGGCAGTCCCGGAAAGAAGCCGATGGACCAGTTGAAGAGCGACGTGATGAGAATCTCGCCCAGGACAGGCACCACCGCGTCGAAAGAGGCCAGGAAGGCGAACACCTTACCTGCACGAATATTACCATCCAGCTGGGAATTGGCTGTACACTGGAAGTTATATAGGGACTCGTATGAGGAGCATTTCACCGGAGGAACTTGTGAAATCGGTTCACAATTAATTAGTTAGACGAAATTAGTCACTCATTTTATAAAGCTGTGAGGAGGAAAAATCCACTGTTGCCACAAGCTCTCTCCCTCTGTCTCGGCTATACACTCTGCAAATGGCATACCTGCTTTAATATCTGGGCGTTTTACGAGTCATAACCATGGCACGATTATTAGGCACACCACATTGAAGGCCTCTGGATATTTCGTTTACCTGCCGTTCTTTTAACCTGTGCTAAGTAGTGGGCTTCTAGCAGTTCACGTCCGTCGAAATGCGTCCCGCCACAGCCGCGCACGAACCTGCGACCTGCGGGGTCAGAGGGGCGAGTACCGTCACCACTGTATTACCATGGCGGCTGGGCGTACATTTCCTGCGCTCACCAGTAGGCCGGGACCAAGGGAACAACTCACAGATGGATAGATCGGTGGATTGATGAATGGATAGATTAACTTTACTAAGGGTCATTGGGTAGCGCTAGTTTCCTAGCCCAAAACCGAGTTTCGCTTGGTCCCACGCCACGTTTGAATCTACTTCCCTTGCGATGCATTTCCTGGGGCACCCCTGTGTGCTCCGCATTGGTTGACAAACCGTGGTCACGTGCCATGATCAGTGACGTTCCAAGCAGTCTACGGCCTCCCTCACCTGAGAATGTACTTTGTCTTTACTGATTAGGAACCACGTAAAACCTACAAAAGGCTGTCAAAATTTATGACGTCATCAGATTTGGTGCGCGAATCGCAAGGTGGCATCGCCACACCTTTTTTTTTTCACACACGTTTTCTTGTTTACCAAACATCATTTTGCAGCTAAGGTGGTGATCTTGAAGTGGTGAAGGAGTACTGATGTGACGAAAATAGTTTTTCTCTAAGAGTGCTTGATGAAGTTCGCACAAGTACACATTCAGACAAGATTACTCCACACGGCACTCACCTACTTCGTCTTGTCCCACCAACTTGGAAAGGTGGGTACGCACACCAACCTGGCCCAGGAAGGTAGGGATGCCGGCCACACAGTCTGCGCATGCAGAGGCGATACAAACGTGTTGGAGACAAGACGCAAGACACGGGAAAAGTCCCGATTGGGCTTATAAGTCACACGCACCTCAATGCATTTGCCAAAGATGACTGAAGGAAAACGTCATGTTCTTTTTTCATATGGTTTTTTGGGCGAGTTGATAAACTAGACAACAGCGCACACACACAAACAAAACACGCCACACGAACAAACGTCAGGAAAATGATTGATTGATATGTGAGGTTTAACGTCCCAAATCCATCATATGATTATGAGAGATAGTGGAGGGCTCCGGAAATTTTGACCACCTAGGGTCCTTTAACGTGCACCAAAATCTGAGCGCAAGGGCCTACAAAAATTCCGCCTCCATCGGAAATGCAGCCGCCGCAGCCGGGATTCGATCCCGCGACCTGCGGGTCAACAGCCGAGTACCTCAGCCACTAGACCACCGCGGCGGGGCACTCCAGAAAAATAATCTAAGCATTTCACACCAAGAATGTGGGGATGGAGATGCATCAGTCGGGCCTCTCTTATTCTCCTAGAAAATGGGATTCGCTTGTTAGACGGCACGTAGGATGCGAAATGCGATGTCTTGCTTAATCATATTTGCAAGATTGTTTCAGCGCGCGAACAAAGGAAAAAAGGAAAGGGTAGACAAAAAGAGCGCTGTCTTGCTTATAAGTGTAGCTTTGATACGCGTATGTTGCATCATGTGACGCTCCTCTGTGTTTATATATGTGTGTGTATTGAATACAAATTTCATCGGGTAGTCGTCGGCTCGTGTCGTCGCTTCCTTCTTTATTCTTTTTGTGTTCGTGTGCGTGTGCTGTCCTAAGATGTTCTTCTCCGCCGATTGCGTTGATTGCACGTTTTCAGAGCACGGCGAATCGGCTTATGCGCAGTGCTACACCACGAAAAACACGTAATCCACACGAAAATACATTATACTTATCACAGGTGTTGACCTGCCTTGCATCATGGCATCGCCGAAATCTTCTCACTTTTCTAGATAACATCGCTGGCACGCAGCCTTATATACCGTATTTAATCGCGTAATGAACGCACTTTTTTTTTCTCGAAAATTGAGAGCAAAGCTGAGGGTGTGATTTATTATGCGGGGCAAATTTTATAAAAACTTTTTTCGGGAGGATCGAAAAATGCGGTAGCGCAAAATATAAAAAAAAATTGGTCGTTTAGCCTTTCGCAACTGACATACGCGTACACTGTTTTGAAACAGCTTCTTGGCTGCACACCACTCATCTTCGGTTGTTGACGGCGCTATCTTCGGCAAGCTGTCCCCGGGCACGCCATAAAAGCGTTTTGCGGCTACCTTTCCTCGCAATCGTTTAACCGCAACAGTGGTATCTGCTTGCGATCTCGAGGGGCGCCCAGAAGCGTACGCTACGACGCCTTAGCCAAGTTCACGGCAACCTCGCACGACGACGCCGTTGACATTGTAGCAAGTAACCAACATTGCAGCAAGCTACCCCCCCGAAGCATCAAAAGAAACCGCCGATAACAAGATTACCCACAAAATGCGGCCACCGCCTCGCTTCCACGTGAGAAGTTCCTGTACGCGCAGATAACAAGCGAAGCGAGAATCGGGGGTGCTGCAGTGTTGCGGAAATCGTCACGATCTTTTCTGTGCGACAAGCGATCTTTTTTTTTTTTTCTGGTTTTCCAGATGCGATGCGATAGCGACGAATGACCCTTCGCGACAGCAAATCGTGGCGTAATCGCTCGAAAATAGCGTGCACGTGGTTGGGCCTTAAAAGTTTCGTATTCGCAGGAAGCGACCATCGCCCCGCCGCGGTGGTCTAGTGGCTAAAGTACTCGGCTGCTGACCCGCTGGTGGCGGGATTGAATCCCGGCTGCGGCGGCTGCATTCTCGATGGAAACGAAAATACTGTAGGCCCGTGTGCTCGGATTTGAGTGCACGTTAAAGAACCCCAGGTGGTCTAAATTTCCGGAGCCCTCCACTACGGCGTCTCTCATATTCGCATGGTGGTTTTGGGACGTTAAACCCCACATATCAGTCAATCAAGAAAGCGACCGTCGGTTGGCGCGAGATGTTTCGTGACCTTCGCTCACCGTGTGCTTATCAGCTGCGATGTCTCTACACTCGCACCGTTCGTTAACACCGCTGTGGCACACCAATAAAAAAAAACGGGGGATGTGCCACGCATAGATAAAAAAAAAAACGATGCCAGTGCATTGCGAGTGCGTTTATTATGAGAGTACGTTCATTACGCGAGTAAATACGGTATACGCCTCAAGGAACTAATCAAGAAGACAAACGCTAGGATGTAAGGCATAGGCAATAATTGTTGGGTTTTCACGACCCAAAATCGCGATACGATTATGGGGAGACGCCGTAGTACCCCGAAAATTTCGACCACTCTGGGTTCTCAGACCAGCGCTTAAATCCAAGCACACGGGTTTTTAGTATTTAGCCTCCATCAAAATGTTGGCGCCGCTTGCGGCCGGTTTTCGAACTCGCGACCTTCGGGTCAGCTAAGAAGCCGTAGGGCATTTTGTAGGTGTATTGTTGAAGTATATTTGCTGCACTGATGTCATTCAAATGGTGCCGTTTACTATTGCATTGCGTAATTCCACAAAGGGAGCCCCGCCACGGTGGTCTAGTGGCTAAGGTACTCGGCTGCTGACCCGCAGGTCGCAGGTTCGAATCCCGGCTGCGGCGGCTGCATTTCCGATGGAAGCGGAAATGTTGTAGGCCCGTGTGCTCAGATTTGGGTGCACGTTAAAGAACCCCAGGTGGTCAAAATTTCCGGAGCCCTCCACTATGGCGTCTCTCATAATCATATGGTGGTTTTGGGACGTTAAACTCCACATATCAATCAATCATCAATCAATTCCACAAAGGGAAAAAAAGTCAGCTAGGGTAGCATTCTGATGTGACAACGCGTAAGTGAAATCGGTATGCGAGTGTTGTCTTGGGTTCGATGTCACTTGAGACGAACAGCTGGCCAAGTCAGAGGTTCATTTGAGACCAACAGCTGGTAAAGAGCGGGAATTCAAGTCTAGAAAGTGCCGCCTTAAGAAGCTCGTCAATTATATCGGCAGCATGTTCGTTGGGAAAGTGCGGGCGAGTGACGTCCGAGCCGATATACAGGAATAGGGAGTTTTAGAATACCGTTTGCAAGCGCTGCGGGCGTAGCGGGCGCCATATGTGTTTTAGAATAGCGTTTGCCGTGCTGCGAACCGCAACGCACAATCGCAGCGACACCGTAGCCTCGAAACCAGCGCTTGCGGGCCACGTGCGGGCCGCCATTACCGCACGCAATTTCGGATTTTTTTGCGTTCAGTCCGCGAACGCCGACTCGCGTTACGACGCATGCGCAGTGGCAGCGACCGCACCGCAAGGGCTCGCGGTGCGCTATTCCAAAACTCCCTAATATTTCATTACACGTTAAAACCTGAAATGTACAGCTTACGCGGGCTTCGGTGGCTTTTGCGTAACGCACCTCACACTCACGTGCTGTTTTAGCGCAGTGGCCCTGCATCGGGGCACTGCGTTATCTCCTAGGGACAAAAGGACACGCCCACACAGAGCACGCGGCCCCGGCCATTGTCCCGGCCATTGTCCCGCAGGAGAACAAACACCGACAGCTGTCGATAAGCGCGACCGCGAAGATACACGACGGATAAGGAGCGCAAGCCACATTTTTTTAGCGATCCGCGACACTTTCACGCTAGACAAACCATGCGGACATAGGTCGAACCACCACTCTAGATATATAACGTCGCCACCGGTGGTGTGTGTAGGTGGGGAGTGTGACGAGAACTGAAAGATTGTTCCCCGTAAACTGATTTCACGCAAGGCCACAAAATAATGGGAGGCGAGAATAGCTCGGCAGTTAGCGATACGATTCATTGCTCCCTCGTTGCACGGAACATTCCGTCGAGATACGCTATACACAGGAAATGTGTCATCGCTCCGTGATGGCGCGAGTCAGTAAGGTATCTCTTGTTTCGCCTTAGTGCGGTGATAATATTACAGGTAGTAAACCCTGCGACTGCGCCTTCCTTGAGATACATGTTGCGGTTAATTGTCTATCTATAACGCTTCACCGGTGAGCGTGAAGTCCACGCCAGTATCGTTTTGATTGACTATAGTGTATAATATAATAATATTGATACTTTTACGTCCTAAAACCACGATAGCTGTTCTTTAACGCCTACAGTATATATATAGTCTCTATGGCATAGTAAAGAGACTATAGTATGAAATACTGGATGCACACTGTCCTGTGCGCCGACGTGCACTGCAGCATCCTCCCCTTTCTCTCTCCTTTCACGTTCACCCGTGGCAGGACAAGACAGATTTTTTTTTTTGGGGGGGGGGGGGGGTTCAACTGTAGTTTATTCCACGTTCGCAAGTGCGTTTGTATGTGTGCGTGCGTATATGCGCAAGGGGAGAAGTTCGGAGGGGAGAAGTTGAACCCCCCTCCCCCCACACCCATCCTTTGTCTACCCCACTGCCTCGCGAGGCTGAGAAAGCTTTGGAGCATCCATGATTTTCTCTCGTCATTCACGGCATTCAATATTTTCTTCTTGATTGAGGGTACCGAATAGAAAAAACATCGACAATTAACTGCCGTAAGATTCTCTTTACCTGCACATCTAAGAACCAAGTATGTACCGAGCCTTATCGTCAACCAAAGAAGTGAAACACCTATCCTGCCCCACCCCCTCGTTTTTTTTTTTTCGGCTATGTAGATTGCGTCCTCAATATTTATTCAGTGTGAAGCAACTAGCCGAACAACAAATTCTAGTAAGTGACACGTCGCGTGCATACATACGCAGGTAGTAGAGCCACTCCTTGAAGGCGAGACCCAGAATAGTCATCTGCACGATGGCGAAACAGACACCAACGAGCGCCATGGCAGGGTCGCTGATCTTGAGGACCTTGACGAAGAGGAAGATGATGGGCATGCTCAGCACCACGTTGCACACGGAAGAGATGGAGGAGACCGTGGCGTAGTGCGCCACCGTCCAGGAGTACATCTTGCGCACGTAGTAGTACATAGTGCCCATGGCTGCGAAGACGCAGTGTGTAAAACGGAACTTAGTCGTCGACAATAATGGGCCAAAAGAGTAGTTGCGAGTTTCTCGGTCTATAAAATATAATATACGGGGTGTTACGTGCAGAAACCACGAGATGACTAGAAATTTAGACCAACCAGCATTGTTGTTTAACATGCACATAAATGTAAATCTAGCATTTCCCTTTCATGGAAATGCGACCACAGCAGCCGGGATAGAACCGGCGACTTTCGGGTGAGCATCCGAGACCCGATCTATAAAAAGAAAATGCGGGCACTCTGGCCCCATGTTAGGCAAACGCGTGATGCGCATACTTCTTGAGCGTTTTTAGCAGGTTGACAAATACCAGTACGCCACCCACTGACTATATTCAGGGCACGTAGCGGTAATCGCAGTACGCCTAGGTACTCTTCTTGACAGGACTCAGAAGCATTGCTTAGCAGCCGTTGTGTACAAACCTAAGAAAATAAACAAATCTGTTGCAGATATGTGAATCATAAATAGCGGTCATTTAATTTCTGTCAGACCTCCCAATTCAGTTAATTATACTGAAACACGAAACACGCAGACTGACGTGCAGACGTAATACCAGCACCACCGGCTAGCACACTCACCCGCTAAGTCGAACACGACACAGCAGATGGCGCCAAACAGGCACCACAGTTGAGTCTTTCCCTTGTTAGGTCGGGACTTCATCGAGGTTCTGAATCCATCGGCCAGGTTGGACACGTCGAACAGGTTGCGAATCTTGACCCTGACCGAGTCCTGGGCATGCTCGGGCTTAACCAGGTCCTTGATGGCCACCAGAACCCACACGATGGACAAGCACGCTATGACAAAGGCCACGTACAGCACCATCCTCCAGCCAAAGTGGCCGTACAGCTGACCACCGGTGAAACCGGCCAGCGGGGAGCACAGCGACATGGTGAAGTTCAGAGCGAAGAACCGGGCCCTCCTGCTCTTCGAATCGGTGGTTAGGGTGGCCTCACTGTAGATGGCCGTGAAGACTGCGATGAAGCCACCGCTCAAGCCGTCGGGTATGGTCGACAGGATGTTGACGTAGAGCGGCATCCACATGTGGTACACGGTCATCATAGTAAGTGCCGTGCTGATGAGGAATCCCGTCATGGCGCTGAGGAGCGGCGTCCGGTAGCCGTACTTGTCACACCAGGGCCCGACGAAAATGGCAATGACGGCGCCCGGTGCCAGCGAGATGACGGTGCGGATCATGCTAGTCATGCTCGCTGCTTTCTCGGCCCTGTCCTTGATGTCCTCGTAGTCGTCCAGGTGCGAGCAGATGCTCTCGTTGTAGTGCATCCGGTTGAGGCAGGCCTTCTGGAGAAGCAGGTCCTGGAAGGCATATGCCTCGATCGTAAGCAGGCCTAAGATCAGTCAAAACATTGCTTGAAATGAAGATGCGCGTGGAGAGTGCGAAGATGGACCTAATTCCCAACAACATCACATGGCGGCCGGCAGGTCACGCTAAACCACTCGGTTCAAAGTCACAGTCACATTACTCTGACGATCACAGGTGTGAATGATGGCTTACAGAGATAAAGCGAAAAACTTGGACCACCTTCCGGAAGTGAACCTTGATAGAATGCAAAGAAGCAGCTTTGTGCACGGGTGGCGTCACAGGTTTAACGGCGTTAATTCGGGTGCTGCATTGAGCGCTGGAATATTCGTTAGAAGCGATGGCTGGCATAGGTTTTGTAGGTTACACATACAGACATGTTTCAAAGCGTAAATTAGGTGCGCGTCAGGTTTATTGCGCGTGTAGCGACGAGTCTGCGGTGTAGCGAGCGGCGGTCGCGGCCCGTGTTGCGGGCGAATGGAAGAGGCGCAGCTGCGAGCCCGCGGCAGGCGGCATGCGAGGGAGATGGTGAAGTCAACGCGCACTGCGAGGGGAGGGGGAGAGTGACGTCAACGCGCAGCAGCAGCGTGACTTACTTGGCACCGCGCCAACACCTCCGACGCGCGGCCCGTTTATACGGAGGGACAGCGTTACACAGGCTAGTCAAAGAGCTGCTTCGCATCTAATAGCGGAACCTCGACCAAGAGACGCTACTGCCGAAAACATCATCCACTCAGTTTTTTACTCTACTTAAGCATATGACCGGGGAGCAGAGAGTAAAAAAAAAAGGTCAACAGAAAAAATAAGTCAACAGATCTAGAAGGTGGGAGCGTTTTTACTGTCTGGCACTAGAGCATGTTGTGTACAGTACTTTAGACGATTTCACGTAAGGCACATGGATCACGTTGGGCTTACTAACGTCTTTTTTTTCCCCTCGCGACGTGAATAAAGAAGCTGAGGAACCATCGCACGCACTTACCTAGTCGTTTTTATTGTTTGTTCGTCCACAACGTGCTAAAGATACTAAGCAGCATGGTTAATAGTTACATGCGGCAGCACCGAAACCCATCTAAAGGAGTCTATAAAAAGGTCGTGTGGCCGTCCGAAGTGACTAAATCTCAGGCCACAATACCGGATTCTTTGCATGAGCAAATGAATCGATCAATGTATCGCATTGTTCTCCCAAGTAGAGGTTGTGCAGGAATCTCTCCACTTTCGATGACATCGAACCACACCGATAGCATAAACGTGTGACGGGATGCAGTCACCACGCGCCCATAATGCTCTTACCGTTGCTATACTTATCTAGAATGTACTCTAGTGTATTCTAGTTTAAAATATCACTGCACATCCACAGAGTGAATGATGATTAATGGGGCGAAGCGTCCGTTAGTTCGTCCGCGCGACCGTCCGTACATCCGTGCGTCCGTCCGTCTATTGAACACTCCAAGTACTGCTATCTCGTATTTTTTCATCGTATATTCATCATATACAAGTACCACCATCCAGCGGACATTCAAAGGACTTAACGAAAGGTGGCTAACTACTACTACTACTACTACATACATCGGGGACACACGACCTACGGCTTAAGGAGCTTCGCCCCTATATAATATACCCTTAGCCGGACACCCTCAACGCCAGCAGCCCCGAGTATCGCGTTTCAGCGCCGAGCCCCGCACACGACAGTCAGCACTCGCCACCATTACCACCACTGCATGAATTTTATGCACGTTTAGTTTAACTACACACCTGGATGGGTGTCATGGTCATAAACCTCGAGACGATGAACAAAGCGAGGAAGATCTCCAGCCTGATCAGCAGCACGGCGTCCACCACTCGGCGCCACAGCGTTGGCGGGCCGCCGCCGATGTCTTCGACCCGCGTGGTGTCCAGGATACCGGAGTCCACACTGGGCTCCATGAGGGACGAGCCCAACTGCCGACTGTCGCCTCCTGCGGAGTCGCCTGATGCCTGACTCTGGATGGACGAGGGCTCGGCTCCGACTGCTTTGCTCCCCTGCTGGCTCATTTCGAGTGTTGGGATGAAGACGACCCTCTCACGACCTTCGATCTGTAAAAAAAAACGACGAATGAATGAACAAACGGACTGAATGAACAATTTATTTGAACGAGCTAATGAAACGATGAAATTTATTCACTCGTAATCGTTTACGTTGTGCAAGTGAGTGTAAGTCAGTATATTGTATCGAAAGCCCAGAGTTATTAATTTGTCTGTGCATGTGGGACGTGGTGGATAACGTTACTAGCACAAGCATTCTCAGGGTTTCCCTTCTGGGGGAAGGGCAAAGTTTGTCGTAGCGCCCCCCCCCCCCCACCCTCTGTATCATGTCAATGTATGGGCCTGACAGCAAGCTGAGCCAGTTGGTTGGGATTCATTGTAAACTTGGTTTACAACGCAACGCTAAAAACACGGACACAAGGAAAAAGCAACAGAAAAAGAAAAGACAGCGCTGTAAACCACGTTGACAATGAAGCCCAACCAATAGGCTTGATATGGCATGGCGCCCCCCCCCCCCCCCCCCTATAATGTCGAAGTATGGGGCTTGCTTTGCACCCCCATTTCGCCCCTCTCCTGCCACCCCTCCTATGTGCACACGCCAATAGATTAATTAACTTATCTAGTAACGCTAGTAGCGGCCAACTACTACACCAAGGTATAGTAAATCCTTGTCTGGCGAGGGAGTGCCTTACCGGCTGCAGTCGCCAGTATGAAAACGCACCACCCCAGGCCTCTCTCTGCAATTCCATGAATAAGTGGATATATTTTTTTTTAATCCTGTAGGAAATTGCGCGGATTCGGTGTTCAAGCCACTGACCTCTCATACGATGCTGATTGTCTATATACATTTACGCCATCGCTGCATCGCTGGTCATTAATAGTGACAGACTGGATTAAAAGAGTAGGCAAGTGCCTGAGGGAGGCATCGAAAGTTAGGTGGGCAGATGAGATATAAGAAGATTGCGGGGTTTACGGGGCCACAGTATGCGAGGGAAACCGGGTCGATTGACGAAACACGGGAAATGTCTTTGCTCCCACAGTGGAGGCTGTCGGGTTCCTACCTCGTATTCATTATACTGCGGTTAGATTTAGTTAAGTGCCAGAATATATTGCCTGGTTTGTGGTCCATGTCATCTTTTATTCATGGGTCCCACTATATACCGCGTTCACCCACGACGCCTCGCTTTTGCGTGTCGCAACGCGCCAATTAGCGAAGTCTCGAAACGGTGAATTCATTCGTACGATATGCGAGGCTATCGTTCAAACTACCGTCCACTTTGCAATTGTTACGTATACAAAACGGCAACGTTAACAGTCCAAGATAATAATAATATATTTCAGGGTTTTTACGCGTTATAATTACGATATGATAGTGACGCACACGGTAGTGAATGGCTCCGGGATTTCGATCTTCTGGTGTTCCTTAACGCGCATTGACAATGCAAAGTACACAGGCTTCCAGCATTACGCTTCCATCAAAATGGGACAGCCACGGCCGGGGTCGATCCTGAGACCTTCGGGTGGGCAGCCGACACGACCTCCTCTACAACCACTGCGACGCCTACGACAGCGGCACCTCACTGCTACTTTTACAACTGTCTTCAAGAGACCAAATGCATAAAATTTTCTTTACAAAAGTACCAAATGTACTTTTTTTTTCTTTAGGCCGCGTTGTACGCGTATATACATCACCTGTTGGCAAACACCCGAGGACGCGGATTCAGCTCAAGCCCGCAGTCGTCTGCAGAAACGAAAACTGTGACCGCTCAACCAGCATCCAGGAATGGGGACAAACTCCACACAACCGTCTTCGCTGAACGTAAGTTCGACCTATACACTTGGCAGGGCGAACCAAGAGCGTGGAAAGCGCCAGAAGCCGTTAGCTAACGGCGCGCCCGGGCCGCTAATCCGCGAGTCAACAGACAGCTGTCGCGGCATCTTATCGCCACTAATGCCCACGGCACAAAAAAGCGAGTTCATCAAGCGAAATCGCGAAGAGAACACAAAAAACAAAAAAGAATGACCTCTGTACCTACGACCCTCGTTTTGTGCAGGTCGGATGGACGCACGCACGATTATCAAAGAGTTTGTTGTAGACGCGCGCGGCAACTTTCGCCTAATACCGCGGGTGTCATGCCATTACGATTGCTTTTGCACGCGGCACGGCGAAGGCGACGTCATCAGCTCGTCTTAGACGAGGCATGCATAGCCGGACTGCGACGCAAATTAAGCGAACGGATATTAAAATAATTGCCGGGGCTTTACATCCCAAAACCACGATATGGTTATGAGCGACGCCGCCGAAGTGTAGAGTGCTCTAAAAAGTTAGATAACGGCGGGTTCCTTAACGTGCGTCGAAATCTAAGCACACGGGCCTAGTATTTCGGCTTCCATCTAAATGCGGCCGCCACGGCCGTGATTCGGTGCCGCGACCTTTGGTTCAGCGGTCGACAACCATAGCCACTAGAAAATTAGGGCACTATAAACATGGGAAACAGAACATTGCCTTGTTCCCTTCGTATTGCAGTGATTAAATCTAACACAGTACCTAACCATTTCCAACATTTGAAAGAGTTCTGCTGAAGCTATTGAACACCTACTAAAATGTTTGTCACATCCACTACAATATAGGTGAACGCAACTACAACAAAAATACCTATCTACAGCGAAGGATGTTCGGTACGCCCCGTCTTTACTGCGAACGTTACAATGCGCAGCCTTTGTAACGCAGTAACATGTATAACAATATACTGACGGAGTGAAGCGGGTCGATATAGGACTAAGTCACGGACATACTTTAGTTTCCATCGTCTTTCGCTCGGGTCATATAGGCACAATTTCGACTCGGACGCGCAGATCAGAGCTAAAATTATATTTAGACAAAAAAGGTTCTGCCACAGGAGATCGAACCCCCGAACCCTCGGTTCACCATGACAAGTGCATGGCGCGTTATCGACGGAGCTAGCAAGGCAGCTTATCTTTGAGTATCAGATTTGTCTTGAATCCACATGATTGTCTCGAGCTATTTATTGGGCTTACGGCTCGCTATACCGAAAATGTCACGTTTGAATCCGTGAGTTCTGTGCATGAAGGCCTCGAAGAACTCTTCCTTACACAAAGGCGTTTTCCCCTGTACGATTTCTTTTTCATTGTTCGTTCGTAGTAAAACAGAATTCGTGTGAAACTGTCTATTGATTGCACAACAAAGATATGAAGAAATGCAGCTTATGGAATGAATACAGAACATACAGATAGGCGAGGCAAATTAATAAGCTACATCGGTCGGAAGCAGCATCCGTTCAATTTACCTTTTTGAGAAAAAAATTTTAATTGAATGTATAGGCCTAAATTCCGAATCAGCTAGCGTTTTATAGGCTATACACAGGCCCGTGTGCTTAGACTTAGATGAACGCATAAGAGGGGCCATGACACGGTCACCCAACAATTAGCGATTTTCAGCGAAAAATAAAGATAGAGGATCTCTTGTGCATATATATACAAACATGAGCCCCGCCGCGGTAGTAGTCTATAGTGGCTACGATACTCAGCAGCTGACCAGCAAGTCGCTGGATCGAATCCCAGCTTCGGCGGCTGCATTTCCGATGGAGGCGGAGCTGTTGTAGGCCCGTGTGCTCAGATTTATATGCACGTTAAAGAACCCCAGGTGGTCGACATTTCCGGAGCCTTCCACTACGGCACGTCTCTCATAATCATATGTTGGTTTTGAGATGTTAAACACCACATATCAATCATCAATACACATACATGAAAAAAAAAAGTTGGCGAATGAATGTTTCACTGCGAAATAACGCTTTATGTCACCGGCTATACACCCCACCAACCACCGGCTATGGCGCGTGTGAGGTCACACTTTGCATGGAGTAGATGCCAACATTTTCTACCAGTTTAAGCCACTGCAAAGCGTTCAGTATCAAGTTCAAAGAACTGATTAGTTCGATTGCGTGCGCTGGTGACAACGGAACAAAATAGTCCGCCGGAACGCAGACGCTCGATCAGCAATTGATTTATTCATTGATATGTGGTGTTTAACGTCCCAAAACCACCATATGATTATGAGAGATGCCGTAATGAAGGTCTCTGGAAATTTCGACCACCTGGGGTTCTTTAACGTGCACCCAAATCTGAGCACACAGGCGTACAGCCTTTCCGCCTCCATAGGAAATGCAGCCGTGATTCGATCCCCCGACCTGCGGGTCAGCAGCCGAGTACCTCGGCCACTAGACCACCGCGGCGGGGCCCGCACAGCAATTAAGCAGTCTGTTACGTCACGACTCGCGCCAGTGTTGGCCGACCTTTCAAGTTACCCACGCGTTTGCCGAAATATTCAATTACAAATGAAGTGCTCTACTAGGTGCGATAATATTTCGGCAGTTTGTTTGTGAACGCACAACGAGTATCCCACACAACATAGATAATCATAGAAATTCGGGCGTCATTGCCCTTCTAAAAAAATCCAGGCAAATCGGTGGCTTCCCCTACGGCGTCAATCATCTCATGAACAGCATATATCCAGATATTTTCGGGTGAGGGGGGGGGGGGGGGTGCATGTATACGCATTTAAAACTGCAAGATTTCGAAGAGAGTTGAATTCACTACCTTCCCCCCCCCCCCCCCTGGCTACGTCAGTGTCGATCGTATTGCGGCTTTTAACGTAAAAAACTCGACATTTATCACACACGCCTTACGAAGCGGTCAAGCAAGGATACGCAGGCTTCTGCCAATGAGTGCGGGGAGTCTTGTGAACACACGTATAATTAATTTTACGACCTCTCCGGCGCGCAGATCTCTCGGAGCGACAAAAGGTACAGGAGCTTAAACCGCCACCAGATAGCTCCGCTGCTCCCCATCCGAAGCCTCGGGCGTAGATATAGACTTGAGCAACGTCGTATATACGCCCGTTTTCGCAGACGTCGACATCCCTTTTAGACGCAGAGCAGCGTTGACTCGACGCACGAAAGAAGTAATTCCGCACAACACTTTAGACCAAGGGCCAGCAGCCAGATGTCCGTATCCCGCCCGCGATGTATTCT